CTCTCTCATCAAGAAGTTGATCTTTTGGAATTGGAATTTTCTCTGATCGAGTCATCTCATGTAAGTTCATTCTCTTGTCCTTGTGGTGCCTGATGAGTTCACGACGTAGTGGATCAACCTGCCAGTAGTCACCAGTCACCAAAACTTCTCCTTCATGATCATCTTGTTTGACAGCAATCTGACTGTACTCAAAGTGATCGTGTTGTGAATAGAAACTTTTGACTTGTGGAGTCTTGAAATGAACTTGGCTCATGTACCATGCTACATCTTGTAGGTCGAGAATGAGATGAGTACTAATGGCTGTCCTCAAAACCATTTTTCTCATGCCAATACGTGCACAGGACAAATAAGCCTTCTCTGGAGTAAGTTCAAATTGAAATCCAAGGTTTCTCATCTGTGGAAGTGACATCAACAATGGGACATCACCTTCTTCGACAATGTCGAATTCTGTAAACTGAGTGTTCCATCCATGATCATACATGAATATCACGAGCTTCTCAGTACATTTGGATTGTTGTGAATTTGCAAAGAAGAATCTTGAACTTGTTGGCTGAATTTCATACCAGAGTCCACTGTTGGGATGTGAGTCAACATATCTGCAAAATGCTTCAACTGCTCGTCGTGAGCCCATAGCTCTTGTGCATCCAAGATCCAGAATACACACAGTTGGTGGTGCAGAATTCTCTGTGTGAAAAGCTAGTCCTTTCTCACATGCCAGATCAGTCTGTACAGTATGAAATGAAAAAGCACTCTGCTGCTCATCTGATTCCTTTGTTTCTGCAAAGCATTCAGAATGAGATGGTACCTCTATCTCTGTAGAGCATCCATATGAAAACAATGATGTGCCTTCTGCCAATGGCCTCAATGAGGCCTCACCTTCTTGAAGACCAACTTGCCTGGGCACACGAGTTGGACGTCGACGTACACCTTGTCGAAGGGCATCAACTTCTCCAACCAGAACAGGGAATCTTTTCATTTCCATTCTGTTGTAATGTGCTGTTGCATCACGTTGGTTCTGTCCTCCACGACGAGTGCGTCGTTGTACTTCTTGTTGATCATACGTGGATGTCAAAACATCAACACGTGCTGGCTCTGTCTCTCCAACATCAACACGTAATGGTTCAGTTCTTCCAAATGAAAAGAAACCATGACCAGAACTTGATGCCGCAGAAGAATAATGAGCTTGTTGAGTTTGTTGATTCTGTATGGCAGGAGTTGATGTGGTCTGAGGTTGCACATAGTTTGACTTTCCTTTTCCATCTCCTGGCTTTCCTCCTTTGCCATCATCATCCTTGCCTTTCTTGCCTTTCTTTCCTTTTCCTTTTCCTTTTCCTTTCTTCTGGAAGTATCCATACTCATCCATGTAGTACAGATCATCATAGGCCCAATAGCCTTCATTCCAGGTCTGATCATCGGCCCAATAGCCGTCATAGTTTTCATTCCATTCTTCTTCTTGCCAATCTTCTTCATAACCTTCTTCACTCACCATGTGAGAGCGGCCTTTTCTTCTTCCTTTTCCTCGGCCTTTTCCTTTCCTTGATCTGAAGAACCTTCGTCCTCCTCTGCCTTTTCCTTTTCCTTTTCTCTTTCCTTTACCCTTGCCTCGTCTGGTCTGTCTGCCTTGGAACCTTCTCTGATACCATGTGTAGTCAGCGTCATCATAAACCCAGAAAACATCTTCTAAAGCATCCAGGAATCCTTCTGCGCCGTCTTCTTCATCTTCGGCCCAATAGCCGTCGGGTCCTTCTAATTCACCTTCATCCAGTACGAGGAAAGATCTTCTCTGTGCCATGCCAGAGGGTTGCATCAATGGATTGTCAACTGCTGTTTTGGTAGTGCAAAACATTTCCAAAAACAGGTCACGTAGTTCTTGAATGTTGTATTGATCGAGGGTTCGTCCACGATGTGTCATGATACTTGTGAGTGTATTTCTCTGATCTTGACTCAGGTCAGCTAGACTTACAAAAATCAATGCTAGCAAATTTTCACCCAGTGGGAATGCTTGTCGCTGCACTTGTCTACGATTTTCCTGAAATTGTCTGAATGCCGCTAGTGCCAGTTCATCTGACCAAGGAACAACTACATGAGGAGCTGCTCCTGAGGCTGCTGCTACTTCAGCTCGTTCTTGTTGATCTCGATCATGTTCTTGACGTCGTTGCTGAACAAACAGGATTGCTTCAGGACTAGTCACTGTTACTTCTGAAAGTAAATCCATCCAAGACTCAATAAGTCTATTTCCAGTGAGTTGAAATCTAGTCATCCACTTCTGAAGATCCATAGTTCCTCTGTTGAACTTCATGAACTGCATGAAACGGTATAAGAACACGTTTTGGGCACCTTTGATGAAATGAGGTCGTAGAAATCTTTTGAAATAAGCTACTCCTTCATTGGGATCCCTGAGCATCTCTCTATCCAATAGCCTCTTGTATTGTTGAGCATCTCCTTCCAGCCGATTGCGCAGTGCTGGGCCACGTTTCTCTGGTTCCAGCTCTGTGATATCACACCAGTCATCAATTGCATCTTCAAAGGCAAAGAAACTAGTTCTTCCATCATATGCTGGGGCTACCTTTGTGGTCATCTGCTGCGTCATGTGAATCTGTGTCTGCTGGGGTGCTCTTCTCATTGCATAAGAGTCATATTGGTTCCATCCATCTGCATCGACAATGTCGAAGTCATCATCATCATCATAGCCATGGCGTGCCATTGCTTGGGCTCTTCCTGGAGCTCACCCTCAATGAGGGATCACAGCTCCGCTACCACTTGAAGAGGGGCCCTAGCGTCTACTTCAAGATCAGCTAAGGCGTCTTCCCCAATGACAGCACTTGTTTTACTCAGCCTGTTGCCGGTCCGTGCTTGTCTACAGGGTTACTCTATATACCTCTTGAGCCTTGAAGGGCGCATCTAAATGTGCTCAATACTCATGCATGTACCTATGTAGGTATTAGGTCGAAACAAAAACAAGGGCGCAGCGCCTCCCCCCGCAATGCGTACCAAGAAAGAAGCACACAGGCTCAAGTCTCGATGGATATAAATAAAGATTAAGAAAGAGAAGATGAACCCAAAGAAACGATACATATGAAAAAAATGAAAGAGAGTAGGTAGCAAGGGAAGTCGATTAAAAAATAAAAGCGGGTGGGGGGGTGCAGGGGGGAGGGCGCAGCGCCTCCCCCCGCAATGCGTACCAAGAAAGAAGCACACAGGCTCAAGTCTCGATGGATATAAATAAAGATTAAGAAAGAGAAGATGAACCCAAAGAAACGATACCTATGAAAAAAATGAAAGAGAGTAGGTAGCAAGGGAAGTCAATTAAGAAATAAAAGCGGGTGGGGGGGTGCAGGGGGGAGGGCGCAGCGCCTCCCCCCGCAATGCGTACCAAGAAAGAAGTACATAGGCGCAAATCTCGATGGATATCAATCAAGATAAAATGAACCCAAATAACCGGTGATGCTTATGAAAAACAAAAAGAATAGTAGGTAGCAAGGGGAACCGATTAAAAAAAAAACGGGTGGGGGTGCAGGGGGGAGGGCGCAGCGCCTCCCCCCGCAATGCGTACCAAGAAAGAAGTACATAGGCACAAGTCGCGATGGATATCAATCAAGATTAAATGAATCCAAATAAACAACGATGATGCTTGTGAAAAAAAAGAATAGTAGGTAGCAAGGGGAGCCGGCTAAAAAATAAAAGCGGGTGGGGGGGTCAAGAGAAGGAAGCTTTCCATTCATTTTTCAAGAGAAGGTTACTTCTTTCTTTCTTTCTTTCTTTCTTTCTTCCTTCCTTCCTTCCTTCCTTCCTTCCTTCCTTCCTTCCTTTTTTTCTTTCTTTCTTTCTTTCTTTCGTTCTTTCTTTCTTTCTTTCTTTCTTTCTTTCTTTCTTTCTTTCTTTCTTTCCTGTCCTGATTTTGTTTTTTTTGATCCATGGGTTTTGCCTTCATTTCGTGATAGTTTCCTTGTGTTTTCTCATGTTTTCTGGATTTTGTTTTTTTTGATCCCTATTTGTTTTTTTTTGATCCTTATTTGTTTTTTTGATCCTTATTTGTTTTTTTTTGATCCCTCTCCCGCCAAAACTTGGGCAAAACCGTCCAAACTCACTACCACCCACATGGCACCTACCTGGCACTTATCCCGCTCATGAATTTCAACATGGGTGCGCTAACATGGAACCCATTTTTTTTTGCCCAACGTTGGTTTTCGAGAGAGTAATGATTTTGTGAACCAAAACTTAGCAACAGTGCAAATATATCACTCCAAACACCGAACACGGCAATGCTCTGAGCTTGCTTTGTCACCTTCAAAGGGTACGTCACTTAGGATTGTTGGACTATCCGGACAGGGCGGGCTTCACCATGTCTTTGAATCTAGGATGACACCACCCCGCAACCAGTAATCTTGACACATATTTCACAAATCAAAAGGATCTGAGTCATCTGGGTCCACTTCAACACACATGTTCCGTTCAAGGGGAGTGTAGATGGACCAAGCCCAGCTTTGCTTACAAGCCGAAACCTCGGCCCAGCATTCAAGCGAAGATCTGCAC